GTATCCAATTTACCAAGTCTAGAAAAGCCTAATAAATGTATTCTTTAGAAATATCAGAACAAACAGATTCTTTAGAAACCGAATTACAACGGAAAAACAAATATAAAAAATAATAAAAACGTTATTTCTAAAAACATTCCTATTTTTCTTAATTTTTTCCCGGTTTTCTCAATTATTAAGAAAATTACGTAAAAATAAAAAAAAAAATAATCATTTAATACTTTAACTAGGAAAAATTGTCTTCCAGAATAGATGAAACTCTTGAAATTTGAAGCAATATTTCTGGTAGAAAAACAAATTAAAAAAAAAAAAAATCTAAAATAATGAAACTTTTATTGCCGTACATTTGTTGGTTTTTTCTATACGATTTTTCCAAATAATATTATGTAAATCAAATGATCAATTAAAAACTGAACTTTTCAAAGCACCAACTATATCCAAAATGCTAGAAAATTAATTACTTGCCGTTTTTTGATCGAAACAAGACTTTCGGTAGAAATGTCGTTTACCGACACGCGTCATACAAACGTTTAACTGCGCGAATGTTGAATATTTATAATATACGGAACGATCTCATTAAAAACGAAAATCTTCGCTTTCGTGTTTATAAAAAAAAAAAAAAATTATTTCTATTGTATGTCTTATCGTTTATATATGGTATTAGAATAAATCTCCAATTCTTGGAATTTTCGGGAAATAATATTCAACGATACAAAGGACGATTGTCGAAAGTTTAAATTTGATTAAATCGAGACGCTATCGCATCCGGAATAAAGCGAATAGTATTTGTGTCGTGATCAGTGGCGCGACCAAAAGATTTTGGTTAATGTTTAATGCAATTTTCATAATGCTATAGTTAAACAGCATAACTGTAACAAGCAAAAACCGAACTGTGTTATTGACCGAAACACAAAATATGATAACAGTGGTCTTTAATAAACGTTATATATTAATACACCGTTTTGCAAGAATCGAATGATAAAAAGAAAATTCTTTATGTTTATACAATTTCGCATTTGCTTTAGATACTTAACATTATATATTATGCAACGTTCACAACTTCATTAATCGTAACCAATACATCTTTGTGTTTGTCAAGGAGAGCTGATCTATTCAATCGGTGTCGCGAGTTTGTGTTACTAATATGTGTTTTTAAAATGTTAAATAATTATAATGTATAAATAATAAACAAAAAAAAAAAAAACATTTATATTGTCCAATGGAGAAGTCCGGTCCATCCCTTTGGTCGTGCCGCGGATGTCGATCGATACTAAACGGAATGTGATTGAAGAAATCACACAAAAAAAAAAAATAAAAAATAAAATATATGAAATACTACAAAACGCAATATTGACTAAAATGTTTACCTGCATATAACATCTTTATTGCGATAAACTGACAACGTCATCGAAGTGCTTAATAGAGTCACAGTAATATTTATTCAAATCTGCGGCTCAATTTTGAAATATAATTATTACGATTCTGAGCATATTCCGCAAACTTATAATATTGCGAAATTTAAATAATATGCGCTTGTTTGCGTAACATTTTTTTCGGGGACGTTTGTTACGTGATTTCCGTCGGGATTTTCACGGTAAACCGAACCGAGAAATATTTGCGTACCCACCCGACTATATTAATACGGAAAGACGCCTTTTATTTGTACCGTTGCACAGTTCCGTCGTAATTCGAATGCGCTTTGATCTTTTTCGTTCGGCACGATAATCCGGAATGAACGAACGTTCAACGCGAACGCAACGTAATGTTATAATATATTGCACTCTGTTATATCATATCGTTAGATTATGCCATTTTACGATACGGTAAACGCTGGCAATATTATTTCGGTGATTGGCACCATGAACCTGGAAAATTGTTTTATAATAATATCCCGAGGCGATTGCCGCTTAAATTCCCTCCTGCAATATGAACGGCGGCATGCATTAATAACTCGATTTATTTTACCACTAAAATGGTTGTTTTCTTTTTTAATTATACTCGCAACCTCGGTTCTAGCACTCCGTTTAACTCGGTCTCCCACACTGTGCACACACATTACACACCCATCACCACAGCAGTTCTTATATTATTTTTAATTGTGTCCGACTATATCCTCTTTTAATTTCCTTCCACCCGTCCTTCCGTCCTTAGTTAGGATTATGAAACTTATCAATACGAATAGCTGTGATTTTTTCAATAACTATTTATAAAGTCTTGACCTGTCATGATAATCAGTAATTTTAGATTCTGGGTTTCGCGAATAATGTATTGGTTTCACAAAGATGTTTATTTTTTTTTTTTATGTGAACTCTTTTCTACCAGAAAACGGACTCGGATTATCAAGTATAGCACTTTTCCTGAAAGGAAATAATCTGTAGGTAGTACTTTAAAAAGGTCACTTTTTGAAATTCTCATTAATATTAGAGATAATGAGTAAAATCTGGTTCTTTAAGTTAAAAAATTTGAACGACTAAAAATAAGGTTGTCATAGGCAATCGTTTTTATTTATTTTTCGTTATAATTAAGTTTTTATTATTTTAATATTTTTTAAACAATCTCTGTTATCATAGAAACGCACATTGTTGAAATAATTTTATTATAATATTGGTATAGGTATATATTGTTGACAAAGCAACACTATCATATGAACTCCACTCAGAATCGTTTTTTCATTATCAATGTTTTATCGTTGTTTACTGATATACATTAAGTTTCAGTCTGTATTCTTATCTTCCCTACCTTCCCAACTTCTCATCTTGACTTCTCTATTAAAGTGACTCCACATGCGAAGTATTTAGTATGTAAGTAAGTATTCGTCCATTTTTTTTTTTAGGTTATACGCGAATTTTCGTCATTGTTATTACCGTTATTTTGTTATTTTCATTATTAGTAATTATTGCGCTCAATTAGAAATCATTATTACAGCGGCCTTTAATAATATATGTATACGAAAGAACTAAACCGACGTCGACGGCCGGTTTCCTTTTTTAATTTTAGTTTACTTGTAAAATCAAAAATGTTTAAAAAGCCCACGGTCGTCAATCATTGTTATTGTTATCAGCAATATTGTTATAATAATTGATGATAGTAAACAAACGATGAATAATAATAATATTTTTTTTCACGATCACTACCGCGACAAAATAGGGTTTTTCGATGTATTCGCATTGCGTTGTTAATTAGTGCGTACAAAGCTGAACCGTTGCAGTATTTCAATACACTTAATTTTACTGTTAACGATGAATACAACGGAATTAAAGAGTCGGAAGTTTAGGGTACGGCTAATAGTTCCTACAACCTACACTGGTTTACATTAAAAGGTATGTACTCATATGTAAGTTCCTATAAACAGGTGTGAAAATGACATAATATTACAACGTTAGTTCCTATACACGAGTACAATAATGGCATATGTCATGAGGCCATGTACAATATTTTATGTTAATAATTCCTATAGTCTGAGAATATTATTTTCCGCCTACGTACAATTCAGTAAGCTCGACTTAAATTTTATCACACGAATATATTAAGTTAAGTATGTACTTTCGCATTTTTTCTTTTCTGTTATCGAAATTTCGTCTGCAGTCCGTGGTACCAGTACACTCTAAGACATCACGATTAAACGTTTATTTTAATTAATTCTAATATAGCAGCACTAATAAATATTAAAATATCATCGAGCAATATTAAGCACTTTATTATTATAAGGTAACTAATTTCAAAGTGAACACAGGAGAGGTATTTTGTGTGCCGTTATTATACATTTTAATTAGCGACCTTTGACATTTTCGGAGAATGTCGAAAAATATTAAGCAAAGGGTTAAAAATTACGTGTTTTATTTTTGTGAAATATTATATTCTTTACGTTTTTTCTAATTTTTCGTATTTTGAAAATCGATATGAAATATTATTATTGTACAGTATCGAAAACAAATAAATATATATACGTATTGATTATGTGTGGCTATTGAAAATAATTAAACATACTTCACGCGAGTGAGATTTTCATCATACATATGATATCCTTTTATTTTTTATGTACAATATACATAACAAAAATACCATTTCAATTATTATTATAATGCTATTTAAAAACAATGCGATACCCATTAGTCACTCAATAATCCCTGAAACCAACCGAATAACGAATTCTCGAAGTCGATACACATTTTTATGTTTTAAAAAGCAAGGCAATTTCGCACGTGGGTGAGCCACTGTTGTAGGTGATAAGTTGGGAAGGTAAAGGGAAAATTGAATGTATATCTGTAAACGACGATAAACCATTGTTAACGAAAATACAATTCTAAACGGAATTCAGTTGATAGTGTTGCTTTGTCAACAATACGTGTATCATATTATGGTAAAATAATAACATAAGTATTATATATTTTCTTTAATAATATCTCTAATAATATTGTACCTATTTTCCCGTTTTTCCAATTTTTTGGGAAAACCAAAAAATGACCTCTTTAAATAGTACCCCAGTCCGATTTCCTTTCATAAAATGTGCTATAATTGTAAATTGGAGCAAGATTACTGGTAGAAATGTTGTGCACAGAAAAAAAAAAGTGAACATATTTATAAACCCATTAGATTCTTCACTCCAATTAAAATCTGAAACGTATAAATTCAATACTTCAATTTAATTAGACTATTAAAATATAGTTACGAAATCGATATTCTGGGCCATTCAAGATTTAAATTTTGGAACGATGCGATTAAATCAAAAAGCTAATCTAAATGTATACAATTAAACAATGTATGCGTGTTTTTTTTCATGTTTGTGATCTGAACTAATCTATCAAAAATCCTAATTCGATCATTAACTATATATATCGTATCCAATATTAAATTTTGTCTGTTCAGTGCGACGGGGAAAATATTTTCGTTTAAAGGACATCATACTAACATGTGCCGTCTTTGTTGTACAACCATGCGATAAAGCAAATTTTCGTTCAGCAGGGACAGCTCTGCGATGTTCGTTTTAATATTAAAGTAAGTTGACCTATTGTTAAACTTAATGATAAGAATATTATCTGTGTCGTGTCATGTCAATTTTCATTTTCGTCATTTTAATTTTTAAGCGAGATGTTAGCGATTTTAAACACAATGTTCCACATACTCGTATCTAGTTTAAAAATTAAGAGTACGAAAAAAACGGATGACACGACGCGATATAGATAATATCCTTATCTTTGAGTCTTGTAATAAGCAAATTCAATCTAATATTAAAACGAACAGTGCAGAGTTGTCCTTGCTGAACGGAAAGTTGCTATATCGCGTCGGTGTATGACGGAGACAGCAGCGTGTGCTTTATGGCGTCCACTTAATATCACGGTTTGTTAGCCGATCTAAAACCGCGTTAATAATGACGAGAAACATAATAATAATTATAGTTTTCAAATTTAATTCCTAGGATTCGGTCGAAACTGTCGATTTTCTAATATTTCGCCTAGACGGTACGTTCCACACAAGTAAGTATAATTATCGACTACAATTAAAATTTGACCGCTATAGAATTTCGGTATAACCGTATAGGTGAAATGAAATGTCTCTATACAAGTGTGTTACGTTAATTTAAAGAGACGTTTTATGTCCTTTAATCTCTAGTGAAATCCAAATCTTACGTTATCATATTATTATTATTATTATTATTATGCGTATCTTTAACTAACACGAGGTCATTTCTCCCAACTCGGAAACCGAGTGCCCACTCGCTTTTCTTATAGTCTCTTATTGTCTTATAAGACGGCGTCAGTAAAGCAAGTTAACATTTTAGGTTCATTTTTTTAGAATCTCTCACGAAATAACGTTAATTTAAAGTTTTCAAATTATAATAAACATTTATACTTAATATATATTTTTATAAGCCAAAAAATAAAAATGTATATGAATAACTATGGTATATTCAAGTAATAATGATAATATAACGTACAGGCCTCGGGGCTCTACCGCAAGATTACCTTTTTTTTGCCCCTCTAAAGCCTTAGGAGAGCTTATCATTTTCATCAATATAGCACTTTGCGTTTTACCACGTTCGCCGCACTTATTAACTCTACTTCCCGATAATTTAAACCGTTTTAAAATCATTTAATACATTATTATAAACTAATTTATATTTTTCAATATTAAACTACATTTTGTAATACCTACATTTTCAAAAGAACATTCAAATCTGAAATCATATATTATTACGCAAAACAAAATGTTCTTCGTTTTGTTCAAAAGTTTTGACGTCAAAAAAGAATAATAGTTTCTACGGAAACATTTTTACTTCAACCGAAATATTCAAATATCTAATTTTTTTACTAGAAACCTCGGTTTTTTCTCAGTTTCATACTTTAAGAAATATTTTTTTTCCATTCCTATTCTTCACTATTCGCATAGCGTATGGATTTCTCACACGGATCCCGTATTTCCGTACCGTCCGACACGATCGTCTTGCGATTCATCCGAGTGTACATTAGGTTTCGGTTCCGCGAAAGCGAATATCGCGTGAGCGTGTTGTGTAATTTTTTTTTTCGACCGACCAAAACTCTCATGTAGTTATGGTGGTATTATACTTATCCGGCATATTTCCGGCAAAACCGCGTGCCCGTTAAAACGGCTTCGAAGATATCTTGACCTCTGCAAAGGCCAGAGATTCATCGTTTAGCTGTTTGGCTAGTTTTACACAATTTATGCCCTTAGGCATTTAAGATATTTAGAAATTTCGAGGTTCAACTAATATACTGTAAGATACATTTATACGTACGATTATAATATCTGGTGCTCGAAATCGACGATAATTCTAGTTTCCATACAAACTTGATTTCATTTTCAACATTGTTGTAACATTTTACCCTACTCTATATAGGCATTACAAACAAGTATACACTTTCAAACACAGATTAGAATAGACAATATTTGTTCATAATACAAATATCGTGGTAATTGTGTTTATGTGTTATACCAATTTAAAGTTTAGACTGGAGGAGTAGGGAAGAATTATCGATCTATAGACTAAAAAGAGAAGGGCTCCAATTTTAAAATCAAGAATTTATACTCATTTTATGTCCATTTCAGTCTCCTTGTATTCATCAAGTCTCATTTGTCCTATATTTTTTTTCCTGGTATTTCACAATTATTTTTAAAACCCATTGAAAAATCAAAAAAAAAAAAAAACTCCTCAATGGAAAAACTAAATCCAAGATAAAACAAAAAAATTGGCATTTTTCGATTGGATCAAGGTTTTTGATAAAAAAAAAACACACACACATTATAGTAAAACCAATACATGATTCGTTTTGCTTAAAATCTAAAAAAATGAACACAATTAAATAAAAGTTGTTTTATACATACGAAAATTAGATAACACTAAAATGTGTAGTATTTTGTACAGGACTATAATATTGCTAGCTTATAATTAGCTATGGAGAAAATTTCAAGTGACGTCAATTTGTAATAATTTTTCGTACGCATTATGTTTTATCGCGGTATTGACGGTGCTAAAACCGAGAGACATTTTTATTTCCATAGTGTGCGTCTGAATTTAAACGATTTTAATCTACAAAAAGCAATTAAATTAGTTAATTTATTGTCAAATTAATATAACATAATATATACCACAGCTTATTAACGATAAAAATTCAGTACTTAGACGTGATGGTTATATAAAATAATATGTGCCTAACCGTTTTATTAAGATTTTTTTTATTATTATTTTTATTTAATGCGATTTAAACGAATAAAATATAAAATATTTCAATACTAGTTTTCTTATCGAGTGTAATCACGATATCCACTAAAGAATGTCCTGTCAAGATATAGATGGTACTAGTTGGTAAATATATTTTGTTAATACTAAGCCGATCAAATACCATAAAAAAAAAAAAAAAAAATGTTTTAATTGTTTTTGTTATTACAACTATAGATTCTATGCGATTCTGTTAGTTTTAATAATGCACCATTACTCTCCCCCGACCCAAACTAAAAAAGTAAAATATCTCGTTAATGGATTGACGGAAATCAAAAATTCCAACACCAATATTTAGTACAACTAATACTTCATCTATTTGTGGAATTTTTAACATAGGTATTTAGAAGTTTTTTTTTGAAAATCGAAAGTAGGTATTTAGTGGTTTTACCGCCGAAAATAAGGGTGACAAAAAAAAACATATTAAATTTTAGAGTTGTTTGTTTGAAAATTTTTTTGTAAAATGGATTCCGAAAAAAGTTAATATTTTCCGAGATAATGAGTGTTTTACAATAGATCGATCGTCTTGTATATTATTGTAATCGCTCAACTTTCGTTTTTTAATCGACTGTGTAATTTAGTCGTTTCCGATATTTATGTTGAACAGCATTGAAAATTCAATTCGTCTCAATATTATTGAAATAATTTCTGATAAATAATGTAATCAATAGTAAATTGACAATATTAGATTAGTTTCTAATGAAATAATCTTATTTTTAAATAGCTAGTAGTTTCTATATTTAAAAGTTATTTATATAATTGCAGTTGTAAGATATTATTATGAGCCTATTGTCGAATTTTCTCAGAAAATACAGATTATTGCACTGTATTAGGTCTGTAGTCTATTATATAATACTCATATAGATACTAGCTGTCCAGTCAAAATAAATGCAATCCAGTAATGAACTTAGTAACCAGTTTCGATGGTAACTACTGTTTGTTGTGCGTATCCTCGTAACGATCCTTACGCGGACTGTCTTATTATTTATTTTTTTTTGTTTCAACTTATATTATTTTGTTTCATTCGTATCACCATGGTAATCCATAAATAAATAAAAGTAATTCGATTTTCGTAACAAAAATACCAATTACCCTGTGTCATCCCCGCTTTAGAGGTGAAATTTTGAGAGAGAAAGTAGCCTATATGTTATTTATGGTCTAGAACTACTCCTAACTACTCCTACATACCTTTCCAAACGAAGGAAATGGATTGAAATTTTATATATGTCTATGATGTAACTACCAATAATGTGCATTTAGATAGTTTTATTATTAAACCCTCTTCCAATCATTTATTTAAACAAATATCCTTGTTATACACTGAAACTACTTTTAAATACTCCTACAAACTAAAATGTGATAAAACTCTGGCAACCATAACTATTTTAGACCACTTATAAACATTTATAAATAAAATTAAATATAATAAAGGCCAAAAGTCGGCTGGAAAAAAATTCGACTCCAGTACCGGAGCTCTGATGCTCATTGGTGTTTTTAGTTTTATTTGCCCATCTAGAAAACAGATTATAATTGCGGTTTTAAAAGAAATGTGCATCAGTTAGTTCTAAAATAAAAAAAAAAAATAATTGGCGAGCATTATAAAGACAAATGTTATAAATTCGATATTATACATAAAACATTTTAATTGTAATACTCGTCAAAAAAATAAAGACTAAAGGAAACATATTTTTCAACGTTGCTGATGTTCTAGAAATTGTTTCAAAATCTGGACGTAGTACTTTGAAACACGAAATAAAATATTATATTGTAAAAAAAATCAAATACTATAATTATTTTTTATTTTTATATTATTTTCTGTGCTATATTATTAAATCAAACGAATATTAATTAGATATTGAAAATATTTATATTATTACTCGACTTAAAAAATACAAAAAAAATAATATCGGGTAATTTATTTTGATTTTAAAATGATTAATTTGCGGTAAAACTATAGTTTTTATGAGTATAAGAAATATAAATCGAAGTTCATTCAACGGACTTTCGGTGTGAATTTCATTAGGTATAAATTTTTTTATATTAAAAGAACTCCGCAACCGACCCCCACCCAAAAAAAAAAAAAAAAAAAACACACACAAATACATTCAATACATTTTCAATTATCAAACAAAATGGCTATTTTATTGAATTATTATTTACTGTATGCCTATCTTTTTTACACACATATAGGTACGTTATAATACAACAGTTTTTATACATTTTATTTACATAGTTTTATATCATTACTGTAATATAATATAAACAACAAAAATAGAATTGATCCCATTATCATTATTACAATAAATATTTTGTAATAATATGGGTGTTCAAACCGTGTTCGCGATGGGAAAAATTATTCAGATTCGCCAAAATTATATAATCCAGATAATTTTGGGATCCAAAATCCGAAAAAGTATTGGAAATCGGGATTTTTGACATTTTGATTATACTTTATTTTTGGTATTTCTCATACAGTTCAAA